CCTTCTCTTCTAGGGCTTTCCCCTCCTTTTCCCAGGAGGTGGGGAGAGGCTAGGTTAGTCTTGGGGTGGAAAGTAGATTGGGCAGGAGGTTGACTGAGGCAGGAGGTTGACTGAAGTTGCCTCTTCTAGGGTCCTCCTGCCATCACCTACCTCCCTTGAAAAGGGCCCCTGCCGAGAATGGCCTTTCTTGAGGTTCCCCGATGAGGCGCTAAGGAGGAGAGAGGGCAGGGGCAGGGGCAGGGGCAGGGGGTGAGGGTGGGGGGCAGGGCCTCCTTCTCTGCAGAGGGCTCCTGGGCAGGGAGGGGGCTTGGCTGCTTCCGAGGTGTGTTCTCCGTCTGTGACCTGCCTCGGGGCTCCGGCCAAGCACAGCTCTGGGTTCTGTCCTTCATCCCTGGGCCCTGTCCTGCCTGTCTATGGTCTGCCCTTCTGCCTGTCACAGCACATACCCGTAGGGCTCTGTGAAGCCCTTTCAGGTGCACAGTCTCACTGTGACCTCCGGGTAGCTTGCGAGGAAGGTATTACCATTATCCGTATTTTATGGACGAGGAGACTCAGAAAAGTTTAGCTGCCTCCCCACGGTCACAGGATAAGTGGTGGGGCTGGTATCCAAATCCTAGACTCACCAGGACTGCAGTGGCTACCACTTGGTGAGTGCCTACAGGGTGTCAGACCCCCTGCTAGGTGCTCATGTCCACCACCTAGGCATCCAGCAGACGTCCTGTGTGTGGGGGCAGAGGTACTCCTAACTTCCACGTGTCACAGATGAACAGACCGAGGCTCAGAGAGCTCACTGACGTGCCCAAGGCCTCAGTGAGCAGGTGACAGAGTCCGAGACCCTTGGTGATAACAATCATGATAGTGGCTGTCATTTATTGAGCACCTATTATGTGTCAGTTCTCTTCACCCTCTATTATTTAATTTAAACAATAACCTTACAAGAAGAACATGTACTGCGCTTTGCATTGGAAGTTTCAGAGAAGTGAAATGACCTGCCCAAAGCCATCCAAGCTAGAAAATCATGGCCCCAGAATTCAAGTATTCATCCATTCAAGCAATAAAGGTGTATTGTTTACTCTGTGCCAGATGCTGTTCCAGGGCCTGGAGATACCCCAGTGAACTCAGCAGAACCCCTGCCCTCATGGAGCTCACATTTCATTGGAGAAGATACATTATAAAATACAATGTCAGATAGTGGTAAATCATGAGGAAAAATCACAAAGAGTGAGGGGATAGAGGTGATGGGGCTGCTGTTTTAGGTAGAGTGGTCAGGGAGGGCCTCCGGAGGAGGATTCAGGGAAACACTGAAGGGAAGAGCATTCCAGGCAGAGGGAATAGAGAGTGCTAAGGCCTGGAGGTCTGTCACAGAACAAGGAGGGGCCAGTGGGGCTGTTACATAATGAATGGGGGAGGGAGGCAGAGTTGTGGAGGGGGCCACACCACAACTTGAACTTTTATTTGGAGTGAGATGGGGAGCCACATGTGATGCGCCTTATACTTTAAAGGGACTGCTCTGGCTACTGTGTGGAGAAGGATGAGCGGACTCCAGCCTGGGGCTGAGGCCACAATGACCCTGCACTGCCTCCTGCTGCTGGCTTTGCCAGCCTCCTGCCCTAGCACATTCTTGGGCCTCCCTCCTCATCCCGCAGGCTGCCGGCACCTCCAGCACCCAACACCTTGCCTTTGCTCCATCCCAGGGGCCACAAGGCCAGTGGTGATTTCCTTTTCTTGGCCCTCTAGAGACTTGCTACGTGCCCTGGAGCAAGTCACTAACCCTGTCTGGGTCTGACTTTGGAAGATGTGGACAGAGATTTCTGAACATTTCCCGAGCTATGAGAAATATGCTAATGATAAGCACAGTGGACTGGCGGGAAGATTTCCCAGCCAAGGATGATGTCTTAGGATGCTCGCCTGAGGGAGAACCTGAGTGAGTGTTTCCACAGTCCAGCTGAATGGAACCCCAGTAATAACAGCCACCACTTTTGAAGCACCTACTGAGTACCATGCACAATCTTACTGAATCCACCCAACCAGCCTTTGGGGTGGGCATTTTTAGCCTCACTTCATAGAGCGGGCTCTGAGAGGTGGAGTCAATTCTCTGAGGTTACATAAGGGCTGGGATGTGAACCCACATCCGTCCGTCCCTAAACCTGTGGCTCGATGCCAGCCTGGATGCTTGGAGCCCTCGGTACCTGAGCAGAGTTTCAGTCTTTCCCCGCAGCCCTCTGATGCTGCCCCAGTATCCATCATCTCCTAACCCTCCAGAGGGAGGAGGTAGAAATAAACCACATTTCCAGGTGCCTAATGATAGCCCGTCCCCGACCCTCTGGATCTAGGGTCCCCGAGGTCACTGGGATCTGGAACCTAAAGCACCTGAGTTTGTTGTCCACTTGGCCATTTTGCCAGCTGTGTGACCTCCGGCACGTCGTGTCTTTTCTGTGAGCGGTATCCCTCGTCAATCCAATTGTTTTTACCTTGCGAGGCCCATATAATGTTCAAAAGAGGTAGCAGAGCAAATAACTGGGGGCTATTCCTGCCCAGTAAGAGCCGGAAGTCAGTTGTTTTGTCTTCAGTTTTTTCTCTCCATCTCCTTTCAACCTCATTTATTTAGAGAGGAAGGAACCACAACTCAGACAGTGGAAGTGACTCTCACGAGGGTACCAGGCGAGTTAATAAAAAAGCCCATTTAGATGATAATAGATACAGTGGGGTACAGCAAAGGAGGGGAGTCAGGGCTCTTCCAGGGAGGTCAAAAGGTCCCATCCAGCAGCCAGCCAGGTCACTCTTAGCATCCTTCCCATGTTCATTTCTCTGACCCAGGGAAGTAGAGGTCTCTTGATCCTGGACCCTCACCTTCTGCCCCCCGACCCCCACAGGGGGGCCATGTGCCTGAGTGCGCGAAGTGAATAAAGACGGTCCCTTGCCTAGCGTTTCAAGGAGCCAGCAGGCAAGAACGGTAGGATCAGTTCCCCCATCAGGGAGAGAAGTGGGTTTGGGGACGGGTGTGCTCTCTACCCACCTGCCCCATCCTTGGGCATTGTTTGGATTCAATCTCCTTCCTCTACAGCCACCCATTCCCCCAAGAACTAGGGTAGAAGAGGAAAGTGAAATCTATCAAGCACCTACGGACCCTTGTGATCACAGTGAAGTGCACAGGTCTTGTGCAGGATGGTTCCTGGAGCAGAGTAAGCTCCTGGTACCTTGGCTATTACTATGATCATATTACTACGGTCTCACAAGAACCTTGCAAGATAGTTGTCAGGAGGCCCCTTTTGTAGATGGGGTATCTGGGCCCACAGAAGAGCACAGTTGGCCCTGGGTCTCATGGTCGAAGGTGGCGGAACCAGATTTGAATCCAGGCTGGCATCCCATGTTCCACTTCCCCACCATTCCTCTTCATCTCAACTTTTGCTGGAGTGGAGAGGGGACTAAAGCACCAAAACTTGGGGTGAGAGAAGTAAAGTGTCTTTACCGGGTGGGTGGGTGGGGAGGGCCTGACAACCAGGAGAGGCTGGGTCTAGAGGTGTTCCTGCCAACCAGGTGAGCTGAGGGGCTGGGCGGGGCTTGAGGGGGCGACGTGTAAAGCCCCAGGCTGAGTGCAGGAATGAGATGCTCTCCTGGCTGCCTGCCCTGCTGGAGCCTAACAAGGCTGGGCTGGGATGCCCAGGGCTTGAAATCCCCATAAACGGGCAGAGCCCTCCCTCTGCAGCCACAGGATGGGGGCTTCCAAAGAAACAGTAGTGAATTAAGTGCTAAAGATGTGAAGGCTGCCCCCCAACCATGCAATTAGGTAGTGGGTCTGTTACAAACATTAGGCGGGGAGTCGGGGACCAGATGGCGGTGAGGCTCACCCTTGCCGTCCTGTCCCGGAACCGCCTGGCCCCTGGCTGAGGATTTCAGCTCTGGCAAGGAGAGCAGGCGGCAGGTAGCCCCGGTGTGTGGCCCCCCTGCAGAGCAGGCCAGTAATTAGCCAGGCATTCCTCCCCTCCCTCGGGCAGCTTCACGGACCTAATTAGCACTTGCTAGAATTTCTACCCAGATCCTCAGCTTGCTTGCGGAAGGAGCAACTCTTCGAATGTTCCAGACTGCTAGGCTGACCACTGCAGCTGCAGGCCTCCTTGTGGCCTCTGGGGCGGGTCAGAGGTGCTGGCTGATTTTAAAAGATTGTC